TCTGTGGGTCTCTGTGTGGTGAGGCTGTGGGTCTCTGTGTGGTGAGTCTATGGGTCTCTGTGTGGTGAGTCTGTGGGTCTCTGTGTGGTGAGTCTATGGGTCTCTGTGTGTGGTGAGTCTGTGTGTCTCTGTGTGTGGTGAGTCTGTGGGTCTCTGTTTGTGATGAGTCTGTGTGTCTCTGCGTGTGGTGATTCTGTGTGTCTCTGCGTGTGGTGATCCTGTGTGTCTCTGTGTGTGGTGAGTCTGTGTGGTGAGTCTGTGGGTCTCTGTGTGGTGAGTCTGTGGGTGTCTGTGTGGTGAGTCCGTGGGTCTCTGTGTGGTGAGTTTGTGGGTCTCTGTGTGTGGTGGGTCTCTGTGTGTGGTGAGTCTGTGTGGTGAGTCTGTGGGTCTCTGTGTGTGGTGAGTCTGTGTGGTGAGTCTGTGGGTGTCTGTGTGGTGAGTCTGTGGGTCTCTGTGTGTGGTGAGTCTGTGTGGTGAGTCTGTGGGTGTCTGTGTGGTGAGTCTGTGGGTCTCTGTGTGGTGAGTCTATGGGTCTCTGTGTGGTGAGTCTGTGTGGTGAGTCTGTGTGTCTCTGTGTGTGGTGAGTCTGTGTTGTGAGTCTGTGGGTCTCTGTGTGTGGTGAGTCTGTGTTGTGAGTCTGTGGGTCTCTGTGTGGTGAGTCTGTGTGGTGAGTTTGTGTGGTAAGTCTGTGTGTCTCTGTGTGTGGTGAGTCTGTGTTGTGAGTCTGTGGAGCTCTGTGTGTGGTGAGTCTGTGGGTGTCTGTGTGGTGAGTCTGTGTGGTGAGTCTGTGTGGTGAGTCTGTGTGTCTCTGTGTGTGGTGAGTCTGTGTTGTGAGTCTGTGGATCTCTGTGTGTGGTGTGTCTGTGGGTGTCTGTGTGGTGAGTCTGTGGGTCTCTGTGTGGTGAGTCTGTGGGTGTCTGTGTGGTGAGTCTGTGGGTGTCTGTGTGGTGAGTCTGTGGGTCTCTGTGTGGTGAGTCTGTGGGTTTCTGTGTGATGAGTCTGTGGGTCTCTGTGTGGTGAGTCTGTGGGTCTCTGTGTGGTGAGTCTGTGGGTCTCTGTGTGGTGAGTCTGTGGGTCTCTGTGTGGTGGGTCTCTGTGTGGTGAGTCTGTGGGTCTCTGTGTGTGGTGAGTCTGTGTGGTGAGTCTGTGGGTCTCTGTGTGGTGAGTCTGTGGGTGTCTGTGTGGTGAGTCTGTGGGTCTCTGTGTGGTGGGTGTGTGGGTCTGTGTGTGGTGGGTCTGTGGGTCTCTGTGTGGTGAGTCTGTGTGGTGAGTCTGTGGGTCTCTGTGTGGTGAGTCTATGGGTCTCTGTGTGGTGAGTCTGTGGGTCTCTGTGTGGTGAGTCTATGGGTCTCTGTGTTGTGAGTCTGTGGGTCTCTGTGTGGTGAGTCTGTGGGTCTCTGTGTGGTGAGTCTGTGGGTCTCTGTGTGGTGAGTCTGTGGGTCTCTGTGTGGTGGGTCTGTGGGTGAATGTGTGGTGAGTCTGTGGGTCTCTGTGTGGTGAGTCTGTGGGTCTCTGTGTGGTGAGTCTGTGGGTCTCTGTGTAGTGAGTCTGTGGGTGTCTGTGTGGTGAGTCTGTGGGTCTCTGTTTGGTGAGTCTGTGGGTCTCTGTGTGCTGAGTCTGTGTGTCTCTGTGTGGTGAGTCTGTGGGTCGTCTCTGTGTGGTGAGTCTGTGGGTGTCTGTGTGGTGAGTCTGTGGGTCTCTGTGTGGTGAGTCTATGGGTCTCTGTGTGGTGAGTCTGTGGGTCTCTGTGTGGTGAGTCTGTGGGTCTCTGTGTGGTGAGTCTGTGGGTCTCTGTGTTGTGAGTCTGTGGGTCTCTGTGTGGTGAGTCTGTGGGTCTCTGTGTGGTGAGTCTGTGGGTCTCTGTGTGGTGGGTCTGTGGGTGAATGTGTGGTGAGTCTGTGGGTCTCTGTGTGGTGAGTCTGTGGGTCTCTGTGTGGTGAGTCTGTGGGTCTCTGTGTGGTGAGTCTGTGGGTCTCTGTGTGGTGAGTCTGTGGGTCTCTGTGTGGTGAGTCTGTGGGTCTCTGTGTGGTGAGTCTGTGGGTCTCTGTGTGGTGAGTCTGTGGGTCTCTGTGTGGTGAGTCTGTGGGTCTCTGTGTGGTGAGTCTATGGGTCTCTGTGTGGTGAGTCTGTGGGTCTCTGTGTGGTGAGTCTGTGGGTCTCTGTGTGTGGTGAGTCTGTGTGTCTCTGTGTGTGGTGAGTCTGTGGGTCTCTGTTTGTGATGAGTCTGTGTGTCTCTGCATGTGGTGATTCTGTGTGTCTCTGCGTGTGGTGAGTCTGTGTGTCTCTGTGTGTGTGATGAGTCTGTGTGTCTCTGTGTGTGTGATGAGTCTGTGTGTCTCTGTGTGTGGTGAGTCTGTGTGTCTCTGTGTGTGGTGAGTCTGTGGGTCTCTGTGTGGTGAGTCTGTGGGTCTCTGTGTGGTGAGTCTGTGGGTCTCTGTGTGGTGAGTCTGTGGGTCTCTGTGTGGAGAGTCTGTGGGTCTCTGTGTGGTGAGTCTGTGGGTCTCTGTGTGGTGAGTCTGTGGGTCTCTGTGTGGTGAGTCTGTGGGTCTCTGTGTGGTGAGTCTGTGGGTCTCTGTGTGGTGAGGCTGTGGGTCTCTGTGTGGTGAGTCTATGGGTCTCTGTGTGGTGAGTCTGTGGGTCTCTGTGTGGTGAGTCTATGGGTCTCTGTGTGTGGTGAGTCTGTGTGTCTCTGTGTGTGGTGAGTCTGTGGGTCTCTGTTTGTGATGAGTCTGTGTGTCTCTGCGTGTGGTGATTCTGTGTGTCTCTGCGTGTGGTGATCCTGTGTGTCTCTGTGTGTGGTGAGTCTGTGTGGTGAGTCTGTGGGTCTCTGTGTGGTGAGTCTGTGGGTGTCTGTGTGGTGAGTCTGTGGGTCTCTGTGTGGTGGGTGTGTGGGTCTGTGTGTGGTGGGTCTGTGGGTCTCTGTGTGGTGAGTCTGTGTGGTGAGTCTGTGGGTCTCTGTGTGGTGAGTCTATGGGTCTCTGTGTGGTGAGTCTGTGGGTCTCTGTGTGGTGAGTCTATGGGTCTCTGTGTTGTGAGTCTGTGGGTCTCTGTGTGGTGAGTCTGTGGGTCTCTGTATGGTGAGTCTGTGGGTCTCTGTGTGGTGAGTCTGTGGGTCTCTGTGTGGTGGGTCTGTGGGTGAATGTGTGGTGAGTCTGTGGGTCTCTGTGTGGTGAGTCTGTGGGTCTCTGTGTGGTGAGTCTGTGGGTCTCTGTGTAGTGAGTCTGTGGGTGTCTGTGTGGTGAGTCTGTGGGTCTCTGTTTGGTGAGTCTGTGGGTCTCTGTGTGCTGAGTCTGTGTGTCTCTGTGTGGTGAGTCTGTGGGTCGTCTCTGTGTGGTGAGTCTGTGGGTGTCTGTGTGGTGAGTCTGTGGGTCTCTGTGTGGTGAGTCTGTGGGTCTCTGTGTGGTGAGTCTGTGGATCTCTGTGTGGTGAGTCTGTGGGTCTCTGTGTGGTGAGTCTGTGGGTCTCTGTGTTGTGAGTCTGTGGGTCTCTGTGTGGTGAGTCTGTGGGTCTCTGTGTGGTGAGTCTGTGGGTCTCTGTGTGGTGGGTCTGTGGGTGAATGTGTGGTGAGTCTGTGGGTCTCTGTGTGGTGAGTCTGTGGGTCTCTGTGTGGTGAGTCTGTGGGTCTCTGTGTGGTGAGTCTGTGGGTCTCTGTGTGGTGAGTCTGTGGGTCTCTGTGTGGTGAGTCTGTGGGTCTCTGTGTGGTGAGTCTGTGGGTCTCTGTGTGGTGAGTCTGTGGGTCTCTGTGTGGTGAGGCTGTGGGTCTCTGTGTGGTGAGTCTATGGGTCTCTGTGTGGTGAGTCTGTGGGTCTCTGTGTGGTGAGTCTGTGGGTCTCTGTGTGTGGTGAGTCTGTGTGTCTCTGTGTGTGGTGAGTCTGTGGGTCTCTGTTTGTGATGAGTCTGTGTGTCTCTGCGTGTGGTGATTCTGTGTGTCTCTGCGTGTGGTGAGTCTGTGTGTCTCTGTGTGTGTGATGAGTCTGTGTGTCTCTGTGTGTGTGATGAGTCTGTGTGTCTCTGTGTGTGGTGAGTCTGTGTGTCTCTGTGTGTGGTGAGTCTGTGGGTCTCTGTGTGGTGAGTCTGTGGGTCTCTGTGTGGTGAGTCTGTGGGTCTCTGTGTGGTGAGTCTGTGGGTCTCTGTGTGGAGAGTCTGTGGGTCTCTGTGTGGTGAGTCTGTGGGTCTCTGTGTGGTGAGTCTGTGGGTCTCTGTGTGGTGAGTCTGTGGGTCTCTGTGTGGTGAGTCTGTGGGTCTCTGTGTGGTGAGGCTGTGGGTCTCTGTGTGGTGAGTCTATGGGTCTCTGTGTGGTGAGTCTGTGGGTCTCTGTGTGGTGAGTCTATGGGTCTCTGTGTGTGATGAGTCTGTGTGTCTCTGTGTGTGGTGAGTCTGTGTGTCTCTGTGTGTGGTGAGTCTGTGTGTGTCTCTGTGTGTGGTGAGTCTGTGTGTCTCTGTGTGTAGTGAGTCTGTGGGTCTCTGTGATGAGTCTGTGTGTCTCTGTGTGTGTGTCTGTGTGTTGTGGGGAGCGACAGTGTAGCGGTTAGTGCTACGCTGCGCTATGAACCCTTCGACCCGGGTTCGATTCCCGCTCACGGCCAACACCACCAGCGACGATTATCTGTACCGGTCCCGGGCCTCCCCTAGGTCGACTCGGCCTCAAATGAGTACCTGGTGCGGTGTGTAAGTAAACGTCGCCACTGGGGAGACAAAGGCGGCCGGGCGTGGTGGTGCTGGCCACCCACCCCCTCTGTGTGTGCCACAGTGCCGGTAGCCTTCACAGGGTGCCGCTCGCTAGCAGCACTTGCCCCTACAGTCTGTTACAGGCTGTACGGGGGGATCTTTGTCTTTGTCTTTGTCTAGTATATAACCAAATATGCTTGTGCCCGGCCCCCCCCCTATCCTCTCATTTCTCTCCCTCCTCCCACTCCCCCCCCCCCCCACTTCCCCCCCCCACTCCCCCCCCCCACTTCCCCCCACTTCCCCCCACTCCCCCCACCACTCCCACCCCCCAGGTGCTGCTGGGTGAGAGGGACCTCTCCACCGCCCCTGACGCTGGCTCCACCACCCTCGGCATCTGCGGCCTCCGTGACGGTGACATCATCGTGCTGAGGGAGGGGGCCGGGGCGGGGGCCCCCACCCCGGCCCCCTCCCGGGCCACCGCCCCCGCCCCCAAGGGCCCCTCCCCTCGCGCCGCAGGGGCGGCGCCGGCCGGCGCCTCCGGAAGCGGTAAGCAGCAGCGGCGGGGCCGTGCCAGGCTGGGTACACGCTGTCTGCCCGTGTCTCTCCACCCCTACCCCCTCCTCCCTCTCTCACCCCCCGTGTCTCCCCCCTCTCCCTCCCCCTCTCCACCCCCACCCCCTCCACCCCCTCCCCCCCCTCTTCCTCCCTCCCCCTCTCCCCCCCCCCCGTGTCTCACTCCACCCCCTCCCCCTCTCCACCCCCTCCTCCTTCCCCCCTCCCCCTCTCCCCCCCTCGTGTCTCACCCCTCCCCTCTCCTCCACCCCCCCTCTCCCCCTCTCCCCCCCTCCTCCACCCCCTCCTCCTCCCCCCCCTCCCCCCTCCCCCTCTCCCTCCCCCCCCCCGTGTCTCACCCTACCCCCCCCTCCACCCCCACCCCCTCCACCCCCACCCCCTCCTCCTCCACCCCCTCCCCCCCCCACACCGCATCTCACCCCTCCCCCCTCTCTCCCTCTCCCCCCCGTGTCTCCTCCCACCCCCTCCTCCTCCACCCCCTCCTCCCCCCCGTGTCTCACCCCACCCCCACCCCCCCCGTGTCTCACCCCCCCCCCTCTCCCCCCCACAGGCCTCCCTCTCATCGACTTTGGCAGCATTGTGATCCCCTCCCACGGTGCCCCCCACCCCCACCCCCACCCCACCACCGTCACCGCACCCCCCACCGCACCCCCCACCGCCGCCGCCGCCTCGTCCGGCTCCTCGCCGGCGTCCACCTCGTCGCGACGTCGTCCCCACTCGTCCACCAACCCCGCCGCCTCCTCATCCTCCTCCTCCTCCTCATCATCCTCCTCCTCCTCCTCCTCGTCGCCACCGCACCGTTCGTCCGGCCCCGCGCAGCCGGCGGTGGGCGGCGGAGGCGGCGGAGGCGGTGGAGGCGGTGGAGGCGGTGGAGGCGGTGGAGGCGGTGGTGGAGGCGGTGGAGGCGGTGGAGGCGGTGGAGGCGGAGGCGGTGGTTCGGTGCATCCGCTGGAGAGTGACCCACGGGCTCTGCGGGAGATGCTCCTGAGCAGCCCCCACGACCTAGCGCTGCTCAAGGAGAGGAATCCGCCACTAGCGGACGCCCTGCTCAGCGGGGAGCTGGGTGAGTGGGTGGGTGGGTGGGTGAGTGGGTGCGTGGGTGAGTGGGTGGGTGGGTGGGTGAGTGAGTGGGTGGGTGGGTGGGTGAGTGGGTGGGTGGGTGGGTGAGTGGATGTGTGAGTGAGTGGGTGTGGGTGAGTGGGTGTGTGAGTGAGTGGGTGAGTGAGTGAGTGGGTGAGTGAGTGAGTGGGTGAGTGGGTGAGTGGGTGAGTAGGTGGGTTAGTGGGTGAGTGGTTGAGTGGGTGAGTGGTTGAGTGGGTGGGTGAGTGGGTGGGTGGGTGAGTGAGTGGATGGGTGAGTGGGTGTGCGAGTGGATGAGTGGGTGAGTGGGTGAGTGAGTGAGTGAGCGAGTGAGTGAGCGAGTGAGTGTGCGAGTGAGCGGGTGTGACGTGTTGGTGAGCGAGTGTGACGTGTTGGTGAGCGAGTGTGACGTGTTGGTGAGCGAGTGTGACGTGTTGGTGAGTGGGTGTGACGTGTTGGTGAGCGAGTGTGACGTGTTGGTGAGCGAGTGTGACGTGTTGGTGAGCGAGTGTGACGTGTTGGTGAGTGGGTGTGACGTGTTGGTGAGCGAGTGTGACGTGTTGGTGAGCGAGTGTGACGTGTTGGTGAGCGAGTGTGACGTGTTGGTGAGCGGGTGTGACGTGTTGGTGAGCGGGGTGTGACGTGTTGGTGAGCGAGTGTGACGTGTTGGTGAGCGGGTGTGACGTGTTGGTGAGCGAGTGTGACGTGTTGGTGAGCGGGTGTGACGTGTTGGTGAGCGGGTGTGACGTGTTGGTGAGCGGGTGTGACGTGTTGGTGAGCGAGTGTGACGTGTTGGTGAGCGAGTGTGACGTGTTGGTGAGCGGGTGTGACGTGTTGGTGAGCGAGTGTGACGTGTTGGTGAGCGGGTGTGACGTGTTGGTGAGCGGGTGTGTGACGTGTTGGTGAGCGGGTGTGACGTGTTGGTGAGCGAGTGTGACGTGTTGGTGAGCGAGTGTGACGTGTTGGTGAGCGGGTGTGACGTGTTGGTGAGCGAGTGTGACGTGTTGGTGAGCGGGTGTGACGTGTTGGTGAGCGAGTGTGACGTGTTGGTGAGCGAGTGTGACGTGTTGGTGAGCGGGTGTGACGTGTTGGTGAGCGAGTGTGACGTGTTGGTGAGCGGGTGTGACGTGTTGGTGAGCGGGTGTGACGTGTTGGTGAGCGGGTGTGACGTGTTGGTGAGCGAGTGTGACGTGTTGGTGAGCGAGTGTGACGTGTTGGTGAGCGGGTGTGACGTGTTGGTGAGCGAGTGTGACGTGTTGGTGAGCGGGTGTGACGTGTTGGTGAGCGGGTGTGACGTGTTGGTGAGCGAGTGTGACGTGTTGGTGAGCGAGTGTGACGTGTTGGTGAGCGGGTGTGACGTGTTGGTGAGCGGGTGTGACGTGTTGGTGAGCGAGTGTGACGTGTTGGTGAGCGAGTGTGACGTGTTGGTGAACGAGTGTGACGTGTTGGTGAGCGGGTGTGACGTGTTGGTGAGCGAGTGTGACGTGTTGGTGAGTGGGTGTGACGTGTTGGTGAGCGAGTGTGACGTGGTGGTGAGCGGGTGTGACGTGTTGGTGAGCGAGTGTGTGACGTGTTGGTGAGCGAGTGTGACGTGTTGGTGAGCGAGTGTGACGTGTTGGTGAGTGGGTGTGACGTGTTGGTGAGCGAGTGTGACGTGGTTGGTGAGCGGGTGTGACGTGTTGGTGAGCGAGTGTGACGTGTTGGTGAGCGAGTGTGACGTGTTGGTGAGCGAGGTGTGACGTGTTGGTGAGCGGGTGTGACGTGTTGGTGAGCGAGTGTGACGTGTTGGTGAGCGAGTGTGACGTGTTGGTGAGCGAGTGTGACGTGTTGGTGAGCGAGTGTGACGTGTTGGTGAGCGGGTGTGACGTGTTGGTGAGCGGGTGTGACGTGTTGGTGAGCGGGTGTGACGTGTTGGTGAGCGAGTGTGACGTGTTGGTGAGCGAGTGTGACGTGTTGGTGAGCGAGTGTGACGTGTTGGTGAGCGAGTGTGACGTGTTGGTGAGCGAGTGTGACGTGTTGGTGAGCGAGTGTGACGTGTTGGTGAGCGAGTGTGACGTGTTGGTGAGCGGGTGTGACGTGTTGGTGAGCGAGTGTGACGTGTTGGTGAGCGAGTGTGACGTGTTGGTGAGCGAGTGTGACGTGTTGGTGAGCGGGTGTGACGTGTTGGTGAGCGAGTGTGACGTGTTGGTGAGCGAGTGTGACGTGTTGGTGAGCGAGTGTGACGTGTTGGTGAGCGAGTGTGACGTGTTGGTGAGCGAGTGTGACGTGTTGGTGAGCGAGTGTGACGTGTTGGTGAGCGAGTGTGACGTGTTGGTGAGCGAGTGTGACGTGTTGGTGAGCGGGTGTGACGTGGTTGGTGAGCGAGTGTGACGTGTTGGTGAGCGAGTGTGACGTGTTGGTGAGCGAGTGTGACGTGTTGGTGAGCGAGTGTGACGTGTTGGTGAGCGAGTGTGACGTGTTGGTGAGCGAGTGTGACGTGTTGGTGAGCGAGTGTGACGTGGTGGTGAGCGAGTGTGACGTGTTGGTGAGCGAGTGTGACGTGTTGGTGAGCGAGTGTGACGTGTTGGTGAGCGGGTGTGACGTGTTGGTGAGCGGGTGTGACGTGTTGGTGAGCGTGTGTGACGTGTTGGTGAGCGAGTGTGACGTGTTGGTGAGCGAGTGTGACGTGTTGGTGAGCGAGTGTGACGTGTTGGTGAGCGAGTGTGACGTGTTGGTGAGCGGGGTGTGACGTGTTGGTGAGCGAGTGTGACGTGTTGGTGAGCGAGTGTGACGTGTTGGTGAGTGAGTGTGACGTGTTGGTGAGCGAGTGTGACGTGTTGGTGAGCGAGTGTGACGTGGTGGTGAGCGGGTGTGACGTGTTGGTGAGCGGGTGTGACGTGTTGGTGAGCGAGTGTGACGTGTTGGTGAGCGAGTGTGACGTGTTGGTGAGCGAGTGTGACGTGTTGGTGAGCGAGTGTGACGTGTTGGTGAGCGAGTGTGACGTGTTGGTGAGCGAGTGTGACGTGTTGGTGAGCGAGTGTGACGTGTTGGTGAGCGGGTGTGACGTGTTGGTGAGCGAGTGTGACGTGTTGGTGAGCGAGTGTGACGTGTTGGTGAGCGAGTGTGACGTGTTGGTGAGCGAGTGTGACGTGTTGGTGAGCGAGTGTGACGTGTTGGTGAGCGAGTGTGACGTGTTGGTGAGCGAGTGTGACGTGTTGGTGAGCGAGTGTGACGTGTTGGTGAGCGAGTGTGACGTGTTGGTGAGCGAGGTGTGACGTGTTGGTGAGCGTGTGTGACGTGTTGGTGAGCGAGTGTGACGTGTTGGTGAGCGAGTGTGACGTGTTGGTGAGCGAGTGTGACGTGTTGGTGAGCGGGTGTGACGTGGTGGTGAGCGAGTGTGACGTGTTGGTGAGCGAGTGTGACGTGTTGGTGAGCGAGTGTGACGTGTTGGTGAGCGAGTGTGACGTGTTGGTGAGCGAGTGTGACGTGTTGGTGAGCGAGTGTGACGTGGTGGTGAGCGAGTGTGACGTGTTGGTGAGCGAGTGTGACGTGTTGGTGAGCGGGTGTGACGTGTTGGTGAGCGAGTGTGACGTGTTGGTGAGCGAGTGTGACGTGTTGGTGAGCGAGTGTGACGTGTTGGTGAGCGAGTGTGACGTGTTGGTGAGCGGGTGTGACGTGTTGGTGAGCGAGTGTGACGTGGTGGTGGCCATCATCGGCGCGGCTGCCCCGGGGACCCCCTCGGTGCCATCTCGCGCCGGGCGACCCACGGCTCGGGGACGACCGCTCGCCGGTCTCGGCGTGCACCCAGCCTGGCGCGGGCGGCGTCGTCGGCGTCGGCGTCGGCGTCGGCGTTGACGCGGCGGTGACGCCGGCGGTTGTGGCGGTGTTTGTGCCGGTGGCAGAGCGGTTTGCCGCCGTGCTGCGGGAGCAGCGTGAGGAGCGCGGCCGCAGGGAGAGGGAGCGGATCCTGCTGCTCAACTCGGACCCCTTCGACATCGACGCCCAGGCTCGCATCGCCGAGGACATCCGGTGCGACGCGCCGCACGACGCACGCCGCACACTGTACACTACACACTGCACACTGTACACTGTACGACGCACGCCGTACACTGTACACTGTACACTACACAATGCACAATGCACACTGTACACCGCACAACGCACACTGTACACTGAACACTGTACACTACACGCTGCACAATGCACACTGTACAGTGTACACCGCACGACGCACACTGTACACTGAACACTGTACACTGCACACTGTACACCGCGCGACGCACACTGTACACCGCGCGACGCACGCTGTACACTGTACACTACATGCTGCACACTGCACAATGCACACTGTACGCTGTACAACGCGCACTGTACACTGCACACTGTACACTGCACTACGCACACTGTACGCTGCACACTACACACTGAACACTGTACGCTTTACAACGTGCACTGTACACTGCACACTACACACTACACTACACACTGCACACTACACACTACACAACACTACACACTACACAACACTACACACTACACAACACTACACACTACACAACACTACACACTACACAACACTACACACTGCACACTACACACTACACAACACTACACACTACACAACACTACACACTACACAACACTACACACTACACAACACTACACACTACACAACACTACACACTACACAACACTACACACTGCACAACACTACACACTGCACAACACTACACACTGCACAACACTACACACTACACAACACTACACACTACACTACACACTGCACAACACTACACACTGCACACTACACAACACTACACACTGCACGCTACACACTGCACACTACACAACACTACACACTACACAACACTACACACTAAACAAAACTACACACTACACAACACTACACACTGCACGCTACACACTACACAACACTACACACTGCACACTACACAACACTACACACTACACAACACTACACACTACACAACACTACACACTGCACACTACACACTACACAACACTACACACTACACAACACTACACACTGCACACTACACACTACACAACACTGTACACTGCACACTACACACTACACAACACTACACACTACACAACCCTACACACTACACAACACTACACACTACACAACACTACACACTGCACACTACACACTACACAACACTACACACTGCACACTACACAACACTACACACTACACAACACTACACACTACACAACACTACACACTACACAACACTACACACTACACAACACTACACACTGCACAACACTACACAACACTACACAACACTACACACTGCACACTACACACTACACAACACTACACACTGCACACTACACACTGCACGATGCACATGCCACGCATACTGTACGCACACCGCACTGTACACACCTCGCCACCCACTGTACACCGCCCACTGCTCACCGTGCATGCCGCATCCACACTGTACACCGTCAACTGTACACGCCGTGTACTGTGCGCACACTGTACACACCGCACCCACACCGCACACAACACACACATGGCACCCACTGTACACACTGTACCCACACTGTACACAGCACACGGCGCACACTGTACACCGTGCACTGCACACCATGCACTGTACACAACACTGCACACTGTACACGCCACACATACTGTACTGCATACAGTGCACAAACGTACAGTATACGGTGTACAGTGTACTATCTACATCACCAAGGGCATCCGGTAACCTCCCGCTGTGCACACTGTACACACTGTACATGCCAGGCACACTGTACATGCCGGGCACACTGTACCACGTACAGCAGCTACAGCTACAATGGTGCTGACGGTGGTGATGATGATGGTGGTGATCGTGGTGATGGTGATGGTGACGGTGGTCATGGTGGTGGTGATAATGGTGGTGGTGACGGTGGTGATGGTGGTCGTGGTGGTGATGGTGATGACAGTGGTGGTGGTGACGGTGGTCGTGGTGGTGGTGATGATGGTGGTGGTGATGGTGGTGATGGTGGTCGTGGTGGTGATGGTGATGATAGTGGTGGTGGTCGTGGTGGTGGTGATAATGGTGGTGGTGATGGTGGTCGTGGTAGTGATGGTGATGACAGTGGTGGTGGTGACGGTGGTCGTGGTGGTGGTGATAATGGTGGTGGTGGTGGTGGTGATAATGGTGGTGGTGGTGGTGATGGTGGTGATGGTCGTGGTGATGGTAGTGGTGATGGTGATGGTGGTGGTGATGGTGATGGTGGTGATGGTTGTTGTTGACGATGGTGATTGTTGTTGATGGTGGTTGTTGTTGACGGTGGTGGTGGTGGTGGTGGTGATGATGGTGGTGGTTGTTGTTGTTGACGATGGTGGTGGTTGTTGATGACGACAGTGGTGGTGGTGGTTGTTGTTGACGATGGTGGTGATGATGGTAGTGGTTGTTGTTGTTGATGATGACGGTGGTGGTGGTGATGGTGGTGATGGTGGTGATGGTGGTGATGGTGGTGGTGGTGGTGATGGTGGTTGTTGTTGACGGTGGTGGTGGTTGTTGTTGACGATGGTGGTGATGATGGTAGTGGTTGTTGTTGTTGATGATGACGGTGGTGGTGGTGATGGTGGTGATGGTGGTGGTGGTGATGGTGGTGATGGTGGTGGTGGTGATGGTGGTTGTTGTTGACGGTGGTGGTTTTGTTGTTGACGATGGTGGTGATGATGGTAGTGGTTGTTGTTGTTGTTGATGATGGTGGTGGTTGTTGTTGTTGACGGTGGTGGTGGTTGTTGTTGTTGATGACGGTGGTGGTGGTTGCAGGCAGCAGAACGTGGAGGAGAACATGTCCATCGCCATGGAGGAGTCCCCGGAGAGCTTTGGCCAGGTGGTGATGCTCTACATCAACTGCATCGTCAACGGGCACCCCGTCAAGGCCTTCGTTGACTCGGGCAGGTGGCACAGCGGGCACAGAGGGCGTAGCGGTGGGCACAGAGGGCACCTACCAGACTAAACTATTTTTATTTCGCCAGCTAATGCCCCATTGAAGCTACTGTGTGTCTCTTAGTCACAAGCGGCCTGGCCAACACAAACTAAACTATTAAACTATAAAACTATTTTTATTTCACCAGCTACCATGTGTCTCTTAGTCACAAGCGGCCTGGCCAACACAAACTAAACTATTAAACTATAAAACTATTTTTATTTCACTAGCTACTGTGTATCTGTCACAAGCGGCCTGACCATCACAAACTAAACTATTAAACTATAAAACTATTTTTATTTCACCAGCTACTGTGTGTCTCTTAGTCACAAGCGGCCTGGTCATCACAAACTAAACTATTAAACTATAAAACTATTTTTATTTCACCAGCTACTGTGTGTCTCTTAGTTACAAGCGGCCTGACCATCACAAACTAAACTATAAACTATTTTTATTTCACCAGCTACTGTGTGTCTCTTAGTCACAAGCGGCCTGGCCAACACAAACTAAACTATTAAACTATAAACTATTTTTACTTCACCAGTTACTGTGTCTCTTAGTCACAAGCAGCCTGGCCATCACAAACTAAACTATTTTTATTTCACCAGCTACTGTGTGTCTCTTAGTCACAAGCGGCCTGGCCATCACAAACTAAACTATTAAACTATAAAACTATTTTTATTTCACCAGCTACTGTGTCTCTCTTTGTCACAAGCGGCCTGGTCATCACAAACTAAACTATTAAACTATAAAACTATTTTTATTTCACCAGCTACTGTGTGTCTCTTAGTCACAAGCGGCCTGGCCATCACAACTATCGTTGTCGTCGTCATGATCATGATAATCTTCGTCGTCATCATCGTCGTCGTCATCGTCGTCGTCGTCGTCGTCATTAGCGTCATCGTCAACATCATTAGCGTCATCATTAGCATCATCATCGTAATCGTCATCGTCATCATCGTCGTCATCATTAGCGTGATCGTCGTCATCATTAGCGTCATCATCATTAGCGTCATCATCATCGTAATCATCGTCATCATCGTCGTCGTCGTCATTAGCGTCATCGTAATCATCATCGTCATCGTCGTCATCATTAGCGTCATCGTCGTCATCATTAGCGTCATCATCATCGTAATCATCGTCATCGTCGTCATCATCATCATAATCATCGTCATCGTCGTCATCATCATCATCGTAATCATCGTCGTCATCATTAGCGTGATCGTCGTCATTATTAGCGTCATCATCATCGTAATCATCGTCATCATCATTAGCGTCATCGTCGTCATCATCAGCGTGATCGTCGTCATCATTAGCGTCATCGTCATCATCATCGTCATCATCGTCGTCATCGTCGTCATCATCGTCGTCATCGTCGTCACTGTGTGTGTTTAGACGTCAGCGTGGTGGTTAGCGCTACGCTGCGCTCCGAACCTGGCCACCCGGGTTCGATTCCCGCCCACGGCCACCACCGTTCAGTGACGATTACCTGAAGCGCTATCCGGGCACGCTGCGTAGCGAACGTTGCCACCGGGGGAGACAAAGGCGGCCGGGCGTGGTGCTGCTGGCAACCCACCCCCCCCCCCCCTCGTGTGTCACAGCCCCGGCCTTGGTAGGGTGCTGCTACTCGCTAACAGCACTTGCCCCTAGGCTACACGGGAGACCTTTGTCTTTGTGTCTGGTGTGTGTGTGTGTGTCTATGTGAGTGTCTATGTATGTGTGCTGTGTGTCTGTGTGTGTCTGTGTGTGTCTGTATGTGTCTGTGTGTGTGTCTGTGTATGTGTGTGTGTCTGTGTATGTCTGTGTGTCTGTGTGTGTGTCTGTGTATGTGTGTGTGTCTGTGTGTGTCTGTGTGTGTGTCTGTGTATGTGTGTGTGTCTGTGTATGTGTGTGTGTCTGTGTGTGTCTGTGTGTGTCTGTGTGTGTCCGTGTGTGTGTTTGTGTGTGTGTCTGTGTGTGTGTGTGTCTGTGTGTGTCTGTGTGTGTGTCTGTGTATGTGTGTGTGTCTGTGTGTGTCTGTGTATGTGTGTGTGTGTGTCTGTGTCTGTGTGTGTGTGTTTGTGTGTCTGTGTGTGTGTGTCTGTGTGTATGTGTGTGTGTCTGTGTGTGGGGAGCGGTAGTGTAGCAGTTAGCGCTACGCTGCGCTATGAACCTGGCGACCCGGGTTCGATTCCCGCTCACGGCCAACACCGGTGACGATTATCTGAACCGGTCCCGGGCCTCCCCTAGGTCGACTCAGCCTCAAATGAGTACCTGGTGCGGTGTGTAAACATCGTCACTGGGGAGACAAAGGCGGTCGGGCGTGATGCTGGCCACCCACCCCCTCGTGTACCGTTACCGGCCTTCATAGGTGCTCGCTAACAGCACTTGCCCCTACAGTCTGTTTAGGCTATATGGGGGATCTTTATCTTTTGTGTCTGTGTGTGTGTGTCTGTGTGTGTGAGAGTGTGTGTGTGTGTGTGTCTGGTGCATGTGTCTGTGTATCTGTGTGTGTGTGTGTGTATCTGTGTGTGTGTGTCTGTGTGTGTGTCTGTGTGTGTGTGTGTCTGTGTGTGTGTCTGTGTGTGTGTGTATATCTGTGTGTGTGTGTGTGTCTGTGTGTGTGTGTCTGTGTGTGTATATATCTGTGTGTGTGTGTATATCTGTGTCTGTGTGTCTGTGTGTGTGTGTCTGTGTGTGTGTATATATCTGTGTGTGTGTGTATATCTGTGTGTGTGTGTGTATCTGTGTCTGTGTGTGTGTGTGTCTGGTGTGTATATCTGTGTGTGTATGTGTGTCTGTGTGTCTGTGTGTGTGTCTGTGTGTGTGTGTCTGGTGTGTATATCTGTGTGTGTATGTGTGTGTGTGTGTCTGGTGTGTGTGTGTCTGTGTGTGTGTATGTGTGTGTGTGTCTGTGTGTGTCTGGTGTGTGTGTGTCTGTGTGTGTGTGTATATATCTGTGTATGTGTATGTGTCTGTGTGTGTGCCTGTGTGTATGTGTGTGTGTCTGGTGTGTGTGTGTGTATATATCTGTGTGTGTGTGTATATCTGTGTGTGTGTCTGTGTATCTGTGTGTGTGTGTGTCTGTGTGTGTGTGTGTGTGTCTGTGTGTGTATGTGTGTGTATCTGTGTGTGTGTCTGTGTGTGTGTGTGTGTCTGTGTGTGTGTGTATATATCTGTGTGTGTATATCTGTGTGTGTCTGTGTATCTGTGTCTGTGTGTGTGTGTGTGTCTGTGTGTGTCACCCTGTGTGTGTCACCCTGTGTGTGTGTGTGTATCTGTGTGTGTGTGTCTGTGTGTGTGTATATCTGTGTCTGTGTGTCTGTGTGTGTGTGTACAGGGGCACAGATGACCATCATGAGCCAGGCGGCTGCTGAGCGGTGTAACATCATGCGTCTGGTCGACCGGCGCTGGGCAGGTGTCGCCAAGGGGGTCGGCACGCAACGAATCATTGGCAGAGTGCACCTAGGTGAGAGTGGTGGTGGTGGTGGTGGTGATGGTGGTGATGGTGGTGATGGTGGTGGTGATGGTAGTGGTGGTGATGGTTGTGGTGATGATGGTGATGGTGGTGGTGGTGGTGGTGATGGTGGTGGTGATGGTGGTGGTGGTGGTGATGGTAGTGGTGGTGGTGGTGATGGTGGTGATGGTGGTGGTGGTGATGGTGGTGGTGATGGTGGTGGTGGTGATGATGGTGGTGGTGGTAGTGGTGGTGATGATGGTGATGATGGTGATGGTGTGGTGATGATGGTGATGGTGGTGATGATGGTGATGGTGGTGATGATGGTGTGATGATGGTGTGATGATGGTGGTGATGGTGGTGATGATGGTGGTGATGGTGGTGATGGTGATGGTGGTGATGGTGTTGGTGATGGTCGTGAGCAGGTCAGATCCAGATCGAGAAAGATTTTTTGCCGTCATCTTTCTCCATCCTGGAGGAGCAGCCGATGGACATGCTGCTGGGCCTGGACATGCTGAAGAGACATCAGGTTCACTACACGCACACTGCACTCACTCTGTACACACACACACATCCTACACACACACACTCACCCCTACACACACACCCTACACACACCCTACACACACACACACACCCCTACACACACACCCCTACACACACAACAACAACCGCCATTCGCCACTAAGTGGCGGTGACGTCACCACACACACACACCCCTACACACACCCTACACACACACCCTACACACACACACACCCTACACACACACACACACACCCTGCACACACACACACCGCTACAACAACAACAACCGCCATTCGCCACTAAGTGGCGGTGACGTCACCACGACGCTTGTGCCAGGCCATGTGCACCCTGAGGCCACGTGAAGTGTCGAACGCCCGCGGGCAGGAGGTCACGGGGCAGACCCAGGTGCCACGGGTCGACTGACTGAAATGACCGAGATGACTGGCTGATGCACCACCTGTGCCCCCTACTGTGCCAACCTGCTGTGCTTTAGCTACCCGGCGCTCCGCTCGTTGTTGTGAGCGTCGCTCCTCCGCCCTCCGTTGTTGTTGGAGGGCGACTACCTCCAACTGCCCAGTAGCGTCCTTCACGAGCCTCCTCCACAGAGGCCGATCTTGACACCGCTGGTACCAGTCATCGGCAAGTCCACTCAGCTCCACGTCCTCCTGTGCCACATCACTCCATCTCTTCTCTAGCCCGTGCCACGCCCATTTAGCCCCCTCGATCCGGCCGAACAAAAGCTGTTTCGGCATGCGGTGGCTGGGCATGTGGGCTACATGACCCAGCAAATGCAGCCTTGCCTACCGGAGGAGCTCACCGATGGGACCTTGCCCAGATCTTTTAAGAATTTGTGAGCTCTTCACACAATCCAGTCTGGTTAAACCCAGGATGGCACGTAGGCAGGCCAGCCTAAATGTTTCTAACCGGTGAAGATGTTCCATTAGGGGGTCCACGTTTTGCAAGCGTATAGAAGGGAGTGAATGACCGTGGCCGAGAAGACCTGAAGCTTTGTGCGGAGCGACAGACCAGGTAGCTTCCACACAGCGTTACGCAACCGATGGAAAGATATTGCCGCTCAGCTGATTCGGAGTGAGACCTCTGCTGTTAAACTGGAGCCGGTCATTAGCACACTGCCCAGGTATGGGAAACTCTCCACTCTCTCCACAACTGCCCCATCACCGATTGGGAGTTGTGGGGGTGGAGTTTCCGATGGTACAAAATACCCAGGCAGGTGCTTAGTTTTGGTGTGGCTGATAGTAAGGCCCCATCTCTTAGTGGCACGCTCCAGTCCCAGCAGCAGCGTCTCCAACCTCCTCTGAATGAGCAGCTATTACCAAATCATCGGCATACATAATGTGGTTGAGCGATAGGGAGCCATCCTTTGACCGCACCCGGGCATCGATCAGCCTCCCATTATATATATACCATATGGAGATTCCCCCGGTACAGCTATTGAAGGCTTCACGAACTACGTGGTCAAAATAGATGTTAAATAATGTGGGAGCCCGAGGACATCCCTATCGCACCCCAAGGTGTACAGGGAATGGCTCTGACTCCTGGCCACGTAGTTTTACCCTGGCCCGCTCACCATCATGAAGGTCCTTAATGATCGTGAGCAGAGGGTCAGGTACTCCAAAAGTACGAAGAACAACCCAGAGCCCAGGTCTACTGATGGTATCATAGGCCTTGACCAGGTCAATAAAGCAGAGATGTAGGTCTTGTTGGAATTCCCTACACCTCTGCTGTAGCAGACGGACAGAAAATATGGCATCTGTACAGGACCGCCCTTTCCTGAAACCGCATTGGGGCTCCGCAAGCCTCTCCTCAGCGTACCTGGCAAGGCGATGTTGAATAATCCTTGGCAGAACCTTTCCCGGCACACTGAGGAGTGAGATGCCCCTGTAGTTATTACAGTCTGTGCGGTCCTCCTTCTTAAAGAGGGGGACCACCAGGGCATCCTTCCAATCCTGCAGAACCCATCCAGTGGTCCAGATTGTTGTTATGATTTCATATAGGGCAGTCTGTGCACAAACGCCACCCTCCCTCAGCATTTCGCTTGGGAGATCATCTCTGCCCACTGCCTTTCCTGGTCTCAGACTCCGGATCGCCTTCAGTACTTCCTCAACAGATGGCTCCTCAGCCAGCCACTCACAGGGGGTGACTTCTTCCAATATTTGAGGCACCGCAGCCTCAGCAGGGTCATCCCCACTTTGTGCCACAATGTTTTCCTGGCTGAGGGATTTCCCCTCCCCCAGGACCTCACAGAAATGCTCAACAAATCTGCAAACCTGTTCCTGGGGGTCGGAGATTTGATCACCGTTTTTTCCCATAATGATGGGAATAGGTGTGAGGCTGCAGGTTACTTTTTGATGGAGTTTAATAGGGATTTGTGATCACGGGCCACTGAGGCAGACTCCATTTCTTCAGCAACCCGCGACCACCACCCATCCTTGCAGCGCCTCACGGCTCTCCGAACCTCCGAGCGAAGGCTGCGGTAAGCCTCCTCATTCTCTGACGTGGGATTCTGTAGCCGATGACAGTGGGCCTGTCGCTTTTTCTCAACCATCCTGAACACCTCCCCTGTCAGCCAGGGTCTCTGGGGAGGTCTGGACCGCATACCCAAAGCAGCCATTGCAGCTGCATGAGTCACAGTCCTAAACCTCACCCATTTACCCTCGACATCAGGAGGAGTGGGGGACGATGCCAACCCCAGCCGCAAGCGATGATGAAATTCTCGCTTGCAACTTTCATCAGATAACTGAGACCAGGCCACTTTAGGTTGGAATGGGGTCCTGGGTGTACACCCACCACCGGAGTGGAAGAATGGCATGCGCATCTTACAGATGACTAGTCGATGGTCAGAGGGCAGATCAGCTCCACGGTAGGTCCTGGTGTCAAGGACATGGGCTCGCATCCGCTGGTCCGTCACTATGTAGTCCAGCAGATGTTCTTGCTTGGACCCGGCATGCATCCATGATGTTGTGTGGATGCGCCGATGCCGGAACAGCGTGTTGGTAATTACAAGCCCATGGGCTTCACAAAAATCTAGCAGCCTGCTACCGTTGTTATTGAGCTGATCTGGCCCATGCCCTCCAATCACTCCAGACCAGGTGCCAGCATCATTACCAACTCGGGCATTGAAGTCACCCAACAAGATGACTCTATCCCGAGGGGCCACTTTAGCCAGCACCTGTGACAGGAGGTCATAGAAGGCATCTGACTCATCAGCTTGGCCTGCATCCCTCCACGGATGTTCGTCTTCGGTGGGGGCATAAGTAACCACGACCACCACTCCTCACCTTCGGTTGATGGGAAGGCGAGCCCAAAGTAGCCTGGGGCTTACAGCTTCCCACACCTCACCGCCACGCTCCCACGCCCCCTTCATTCTTTTGTCCAAAAGAAGAGCCACACCCTGTTGTTTGGCAGTCTGCTGCCCCAAGTAGAGGACTGTCCACCCCTCATGGTGGCAGGAGCCAGAACCGGTCCACCGGACCTCCTGAATGCCACAGAGATCCAGGCGGTACCGGTCCAGTTCCCGTCAGAGGAGTGGCAGCCTCTCCTCCGCAGTGAGGGTTCGAACATTCCACGTGGCCACACGAAGTGGCTTTTCGTTGTCTCTGGAGGAGCCCCAAGGTTAGAGATTCAATCTTTTGGCTCCGCCAATTGGGGTTTGGCCAGGAGACGTCATAGACGCCTGTCCCCCCAGGGCCTTCGGCACAAGCTTTTTAGTTACATATTCAATTCGTAGTTTCGTGGTAATTAATTGAAGGTGGAGGGGTTACCAGCCCCTCGCACCCATCCAGAGCCCCCGTTTAGCCACTGTGGTGGACACAGACGCCATTAGGGGAGGAGCCAATCGGAATTGGACCTCCCCCCACACCACTATCCACGACAGAGTTGCCCGTCTGACACCACAAGGAGGTAGGGGGTTGTTTTGCTGGACACCCTACACACACACACCCCTACACACACACACACCCCTACACACACACACACCCTGCACACACACACTGCACACACACACCCTACACACACACACTGCACACACACAAACACCCTACACACACACTGCACACACACACACACTGCACACACACACCCTGCACACACACACACACCCTACACTACACACACACACCCTGCACACAAACACACCCCTACACACACACACACCACACACACACACTGCACACACACACCCTGCACACACACACACACGCTACACTACACACACCCTGCACACACACACACCCTACACACACACACACTGCACACACACACACACCCTACACACACACACACCCTACACTACACACACACACCCTGCACACACACACACACACCCCTACACACACACACACCCTACACACACACACACCCTACACTACACACACACACCCTGCACACACACACACCCCTACACACACACACATCCTACACACACACACACTGCACACACACACACACCCTACACACACACACACACCCTACACTACACACACACACACCCTGCACACACACACACACCCCTACACACACACACACCCTACACACACTTACCCTGCACACACACACACACACCCCTACACACACCCTACACACACACACACCCTAATGATGATGGTGCTGATCATGGTGCTGATGATGATGATGGTGCTGATGTCGGTGCTGATGATGCTGGTGATGATGATGCTAATGATGGTGCTGATGATGATGGTGCTGATGTCGGTGCTGATGATGCTGGTGATGATGATGCTAATGATGGTGCTGATGATGATAATGGTGCTAATGACGGTGCTGGTGGTGATGATGATGGTGCTGATGACGGTGCTGGTGGTGATGATGATGGTGCTGATGATGCTGCTGATGACGGTGACGATGATGATGATAATGATGGTGCTGATGATGATAGTGCTGATGACGGTGCTGGTGGTGATGATGATGGTGCTGATGACGGTGCTGGTGGTGATGATGATGGTGCTGATGATGCTGCTGATGACGGTGACGATGATGATGATAATGATGGTGCTGATGATGATAGTGCTGATGACGGTGCTGGTGGTGATGATGATGGTGCTGATGACGGTGCTGGTGGTGATGATGATGGTGCTGATGATGCTGCTGATGACGGTGACGATGATGATGATAATGATGGTGCTGATGATGATGGTGCCGATGTCGGTGCCGGCGGTGATGATGGTGCCGATGATGCTGCTCATAACGGTGCTGATGATAATGATGGTGCTGATGATGATGATGATAATGATGGTGCTGATGATGATGGTGCCGATGACGGTGCTGGTGGTGATGATAATGGTGCTGATGATGGTGGTGGTGATGATTGTGATAATGATGGTGCTGATGATGATGGTGCTGATGTCAGTGCTGGTGGTGATGATAATGGTGGTGGTGATGATGATGATGATAATGACGGTGCCGATGATGCTGCCGATGACGGTGCCGACAATGATAACGATGGTGCCGATGATGACGGTGCTGATGACGGTGCCGCCGATGCCGGTGATGATGACGGTGCTGATGATGCTGCTGCTGATGATGCTGGTGATGATGCTGCTGCTGATGATGACGGTGCCGCCGATGCCGGTGATGATGATGATGCTGCTGATGATGATGCTGCTGCTGATGATGACGGTGCCGACGATGACACACTGCCACCGCCCCGCAGTGCGTCATCGACCTGAAGCGGGGCGTGCTCGTTCTGGGCTCGTCCGGCACCGAGACTCGGTTCCTCACCGAGTCGGAGCTGCCCGCCTGCGCCCGCCTCAACGGCGCCGATGACGACTTTGACGACTTCGGCGGCGGCTCCGGCGGCGGCTCCGGCGGCTCCGGCGGCCCAGGGCCCTCCTCGCTGGCCCCCACCACCAGCGGAGGAGGAGGAGGAGGAGGGAGCGCGGCCTCGCGCCAAGCATCCGCCTCCACGTCGCTCGCCCAGCGGCGCCTCCACGGGGAGATCACGCCGGAGGTGGGGCGCAAGGGGCCCCCGCCCTAGGGCCTTGGCTAGGCCTGGCTAGAGGCCTTCGCTAGGCCTGGCTAGAGCCCTTCGCTAGGCCTGGATGGGTCGCGCTAGGCCTGGCTAGAGCCCGTCGCTAGGCCTGGCTAGAGCCCTTCGCTAGGCCTGGCTAGAGCCCTTCGCTAGGCCTGGCTAGAGGCCTTCGCTAGGCCTGGCTAGAGCCCTTCGCTAGGCCTGGCTAGAGCCCTTCGCTAGGCCTGGCTGGAGCCCTTCGCTAGGCCTGGCTAGAGCCCTTCGCTAGGCCTGGCTAGAGCCCTTCGCTAGGCCTGGCTAGAGCCCTTCGCTAGGCCTGGCTAGAGCCCTTCGCTAGGCCTGGCTAGAGCCCTTTGCTAGGCCTGGCTAGAGCCCTTCGCTAGGCCTGGCTAGAGCGCTTCGCTAGGCCTGGCTAGAGCGCTTCGCTAGGCCTGGCTAGAGCCCTTCGCTAGGCCTGGCTAGAGCCCTTCGCTAGGCCTGGCTAGAGCCCTTCGCTAGGCCTGGCTGGAGCCCTTCGCTAGGCCTGGCTAGAGCCCTTCGCTAGGCCTGGCTAGAGCCCTTCGCTAGGCCTGGCTAGAGCCCTTCGCTAGGCCTGGCTAGAGCCCTTCGCTAGGCCTGGCTGGAGCCCTTCGCTAGGCCTGGCTAGAGCCCTTCGCTAGGCCTGGCTAGAGCCCTTCGCTAGGCCTGGCTAGAGCCCTTCGCTAGGCCTGGCTAGAGCCATTCGCTAGGCCTGGCTGGGTCTGGCTTGGCCTGGCTGGGTCTGGCTAGGCCTGGCTAGGTCTCACTAGGCCTGGCTAGGCCTGGCTGGGTCTGGCTAGGCCTGGCTAGGTCTCACTAGGCCTGGCTGGGTCTGGCTCGGCCTCTCTGGGTCTGGCTCGGCCTGGCTAGGTCTCACTAGGCCTGACTCGGCCTGACTCGGCCTGGCTAGGCCTGACTAGGCCTGACTAGGCCTGACTAGGCCTGGCTAGGCCTGACTAGGCCTGGCTAGGTCACACTAGACCTGACTAGACCTGGCTAGGCCTGGCTAGGGCTCACTAGGCCTCGCTAGGTCTCACTTGACCTGCTTGGGCCTGACTAGGCCTGGCTAGGCCTGGCTAGGTCTCACTAGACCTGACTAGGCCTGGCTAGGCCTGGCTAGGTCTGGCTAGGCCTGGCTAGGCCTGGCTAGGCCTGGCAAGGTCTCACTAGGCCTGGCTAGGCCTGACTAGACCTGACCTGACTCGGCCTGGCTAGGCCTGACTAGACCTGACTAGGCCTGGCTAGGTCTCACTAGGTCTGACTAGGCCTGGCTAGGGCTCACTAGGCCTGGCTAGGTCTCAATAGGCCTGACTAGGCCTGGCTAGGTCTCACTAGACCTGACTAGGCCTGGCTAGGCCTGGCTAGGTCTGGCTAGGCCTGACTAGACCTGACTCAGCCTGGCTAGGCCTGGCTTGGCCTGGCTAGGCCTGGCGTGGCCTGGCTAGGCCTGGCTAGGCCTGGCTTGGCCTGGCTAGGCCTGGCTAGGCCTGGCTAGGCCTGGCTAGGTCTCACTAGGCCTGGCTAGGCCTGGCTAGGTCTCACTAGACCTGACTAGGCCTGACTAGGCCTGGCTAGGTCTCACTAGGCCTAGCTAGGCCTGGCTAGGTCTCACTAGGCCTGGCTAGGTCTCACTAGGCCTGGCTGGGTCTGGCTCGGCCTCTCTGGGTCTGGCTCGGCCTGGCTAGGTCTCACTAGGCCTGACTAGGCCTGACTCGGCCTGACTCGGCCTGGCTAGGCCTGACTAGGCCTGACTAGGCCTGACTAGGCCTGGCTAGGCCTGACTAGGCCTGGCTAGGTCACACTAGACCTGACTAGACCTGGCTAGGCCTGGCTAGGGCTCACTAGGCCTCGCTAGGTCTCACTTGACCTGCTTGGGCCTGACTAGGCCTGGCTAGGCCTGGCTAGGTCTCACTAGACCTGACTAGGCCTGGCTAGGCCTGGCTAGGTCTGGCTAGGCCTGGCTTGGCCTGGCTAGGTCTCACTAGGCCTGGCTAGGTCTCACTAGGCCTGGCTAGGCCTGACTAGACCTGACCTGACTCGGCCTGGCTAGGCCTGACTAGACCTGACTAGGCCTGGCTAGGTCTCACTAGGTCTGACTAGGCCTGGCTAGGTCTCACTAGGCCTGGCTAGGTCTCAATAGGCCTGACTAGGCCTGGCTAGGTCTCACTAGACCTGACTAGGCCTGGCTAGGCCTGGCTAGGTCTGGCTAGGCCTGACTAGACCTGACTCAGCCTGGCTAGGCCTGGCTTGGCCTGGCTTGGCCTGGCTAGGCCTGGCTTGGCCTGGCTAGGCCTGGCTAGGCCTGGCTAGGCCTGGCTAGGTCTCACTAGGCCTGGCTAGGCCTGGCTAGGTCTCATTAGACCTGACTAGGCCTGACTAGGCCTGGCTAGGTCTCACTAGGCCTAGCTAGGCCTGGCTAGGTCTCACTAGACCTGACTAGGCCTGGCTAGGTCTCACTAGGCCTGACTAGACCTGACTCAGCCTGGCTAGGTCTCACTAGACCTGACTCAGCCTGGCTAGGTCTCACTAGGCCTGACTAGGCCTGGCTAGGTCTCACTAGACCTGGCTAGGCCTGGCTAGGTCTCACTAGGTCTGACTAGGCCTGGCTAGGTCTCAGTAGGCCTGACTAGGCCTGGCTAGGCCTGGCTAGGTCTCACTAGACCTGACTAGGCCTGGCTAGGCCTGGCTAGGTCTCACTAGGCCTGGCTAGGCCTGGCTAGGTCTCAATAGGCCTGACTAGGCCTGGCTAGGTCTCACTAGACCTGACTAGGCCTGGCTAGGCCTGGCTAGGTCTGGCTAGGCCTGACTAGACCTGACTCGGCCTGGCTAGGCCTGGCTTGGCCTGGCTAGGCCTGGCTTGGCCTGGCTAGGCCTGGCTAGGTCTCACTAGGCCTGGCTAGGCCTGGCTAGGTCTCACTAGACCTGACTAGGCCTGACTATGCCTGGCTAGGTCTCACTAGGCCTAGCTAGGCCTGGCTAGGTCTCACTAGACCTGACTAGGCCTGGCTAGGTCTCACTAGGCCTGACTAGACCTGACTCAGCCTGGCTAGGTCTTACTAGACCTGACTCAGCCTGGCTAGGTCTCACTAGGCCTGACTAGGCCTGGCTAGGTCTCACTAGACCTGGCTAGGCCTGGCTAGGTCTCACTAGGTCTGACTAGGCCTGGCTAGGTCTCAGTAGGCCTGACTAGGCCTGGCTAGGTCTCACTAGACCTGACTAGGCCTGGCTAGGCCTGGCTAGGTCTCACTAGGCCTGGCTAGGCCTGGCTAGGTCTTACTAGGCCTGGCTAGGTCTCACTAGGCCTGGCTAGGTCTCAGTAGGCCTGACTAGGCCTGGCTAGGCCTGGCTAGGGTTCACTAGACCCGACTCCACGTGCCTAGGCCTGGCTAGGTCTCACTAGGCCTGGCTAGGTCTCAGTAGGCCTGGCTAGGCCTGGCTAGGTCTCACTAGGCCTGGCTAGGTCTCAGTAGGTCTGGCTAGGCCTGGCTAGGTCTCACTAGGCCTGGCTAGGTCTCAGTAGGCCTGGCTAGGCCTGGCTAGGGCTCACTAGACCCGACTCCGCGTGGCTAGGCCTGGCTAGGTCTCACTAGGCCTGGCTAGGTCTCAGTAGGCCTGGCTAAATCTGGCTAGGCCTGGCTAGGCCTGGCTAGGTCTCCACTCTGGAATGTGATTCGTTTGTAGCAAGCACTTTGTGTGTAACGAGTGCGACCTTACCAAAAACAGCGACCTGGCCATCGCAAATGATGTCCCGACGATTGTGGCTCATGTGATCATCATCATCATCATCACTGCGGGGACTTTCATAGCGGCAGCCAAATACTGTGTGTAGCAAGCATCAGGCTGGTACGGTGTGTGTGTGCCCCGTCGTGCAGGAGCTGGCTGACCGGGAACTTGCAGAGGCCTTGCAGCGGTCGGCCAACGAAGCCGGTGACTCTCCCTCACTCATTCACTCACTCATTCACTCAGTCACCCGCTCATGCATCCACCCACTCAGTTACTCACGCAGTCACTCATTCACTCACTAAATTAATCACTCACTCATTCACTCAGTCACTCAGTTACTCACGTAGTTACTCACTCACGCAGTCACTCACTCATTCACTCACTCATTCACTCAGTCACCCGCTCATGCATCCACTCACTCAGTCACTCACTCAGTTACTCACTCAGTTACTCACTCACGCAGTCACTCACTCATTCACTCACTAAATTAATCACTCACTCATTCACTCAGTCACTCACTCAGTTACTCACTTAGTTACTCACGCAGTCACTCACTCATTCACTCACTCATTTACTCAGTTACTCAGTCACGCAGTCACCCGCTCATGCATCCACTCACTCAGTCACTCAGTCACTCACTCAGTCACTCACTCAGTCACTCACTCAGTCACTCACTCAGTCACTCACTCATTCACTCAGTCACTCAGTCACTCACTCAGTTACTCACTCATTCACTCAGTCACTCACTCAGTTACTCACTCATTCACTCAGTCACTCAGTCACTCACTCAGTTACTCATTCACTCAGTCACTCACTCACTCAATGAATCACTCAGTCACTCACTCAGTCACTCACTCACTTGATCACATGTGCATGCTCTCTCTCACTCATTCACTTACTCATTCACTCGCTCTCTCACTCACCCTCATTCGTTCACTCATTTTATATCATTCACTCCCTCATTCATTCAATTTTGTTCACTCATTCACTCTTTTACTCACTCATTCACTCGCTCTCTCACTCACTCATTCACTCGCTCTCTCACTCACTCATTCACTCGCTCTCTCCCTCACTCATTCACTCGCTCTCTCACTCACTCATTCACTCGCTCTCTCACTCATTCACTCACTCATCCACCCACTCATCCACTCACTCACTCATCCACCCACTCACTCATCCACCCACTCACTCACTCATCCACTCACTCACTCACTCACCCACTCACTCACTCATCCACTCACTCATCCACTCACTCATCCACTCACCCACTCATCCACTCACCCACTCAATCACTCTCTCACTCACTCATTCACTCGCTCTCTCACTCACTCATTCACTCGCTCTCCCGCTCATTCACTCCCTCATTCACTCACTCACTCTTTCACTCACTTTTTCACTCAATCATCCACTCGCTCACCCTCTCACACGTGCACGCTCTCTCACTCACTCTCTCACTCATTCCCATCACTCATTCCCTCGCTCATTCATTTGTTGGTCGTCAATCCACCGTCGTTCCTGAGTGAATTGCCTTCTGTATAGCTTCGTTAATTTCGTTCCCTGTAACCGACATTGCTTGAGTGAATTGCATTGTGGGTAGCTTGAGTGAATTGCATTGTGGGTAGCTTGAGTGCATTGCATGCAGGGTAATGTGCCATTAAATTGCATTCTTGAGTGAGGTGCACTGTGGATAACGGAATGAAGCGCATTCTGGGTAACCGGCATTGCTTGAGTGAATTGCATTGTGGGTAGCTTGAGTGCATTGCATTGTGGGTAACCTGCGCCTGGTGTGGAGTGATTAACACGGCTACCCCGGCCCTCCCCCTCCCTTCACCCGCCCCTCCCCCACTGCCCCCCCTCTCCTGCCGCCCCCCCCCCACACCAAGCCCCTCCCCCACCCATCACCTGGCCCCTCCCTCGCTCCTCCCCTCCCCCCACCAAGTCCCTCCCCCACCCCTCACCCACCCCCACCTGGCCCCTCCCTTGCTCCCCCCCCCCCACCAAGTCCCTCCCCCACCCCTCACCCACCCCCACCTGGCCCCTCCCTCGCTCCTCCCCCCACCCTCCCCCACCCCTCACCCACCCCCACCTGGCCCCTCCCTCGCTCCTCCCACGCCTCCCCCCCCCCGTTTGCCGTGACCCCTCCCCCCGCTCGCTTGCAGAGAACCAAAGACGATGACGAACAGCACTAGCTGAGGGTGAGTGGGTGGGTGGAGTGGGGGGGTGGGTGGATGAGTGGGGGGGTGGGGGGATGAATGGGGAGTGGGTGGTTGAGTGGGTGGATGAGTGGGGGGGGGGTGGGTGGATGAGTGGGGGGGTGGGGGGATGAATGGGGAGTGGGTGGGTGGATTGGGGAGTGGGTGGGTGGAGTGGGGAGTGGGTGGGTGAGTGGGGAGTGGGTGGTTGAGTGGGTGGGTGAGTGGGGAGTGGGTGGGGGAGTGGGGAGTGGGTGGGTGGATGAGTGGGGAGTGGGTGGATGAGTGGGGGGGTGGGTGGATGAGTGGGGGGGTGGGTGGATGAGTGGGGAGTGGGTGGAGTGGGGGGGGTGGGTGGGTGGAGTGGGGAGTGGGTGGATGAGTGGGGAGTGGGTGGATGAGTGGGGAGTGGGTGGGTGAGTGGGGAGTGGGTGGGTGAGTGGGGAGTGGGTGGGTGGAGTGGGGAGTGGGTGGGTGGATGAGTGGGGAGTGGGTGGGTGAGTGGGGAGTGGGTGGATGAGTGGGGAGTGGGTGGAGTGGGGGGGTGGGTGGATGAGTGGGGAGTGGGTGGATGAGTGGGGGGGGGTGGGTGGATGAGTGAGGAGTGGGTGGATGAATGGGGAGTGGGTGGGTGGAGTGGGGGGTGGGTGGATGAGTGGGGAGTGGGTGGGTGAGTGGGGAGTGGGTGGATGAGTGGGGAGTGGGTGGAGTGGGGGGGTGGGTGGATGAGTGGGGAGTGGGTGGATGAGTGGGGGGGGGTGGGTGGATGAGTGAGGAGTGGGTGGATGAATGGGGAGTGGGTGGGTGGAGTGGGGGGTGGGTGGATGAGTGGGTGGATGAGTGGGGGGTGGGCGAGTGGGGAGTGGGTGGGTGAGTGGGTGGGTGAGTGGGTGAGTGGGGAGTGGGTGGGTGAGTGGGTGGATGAGTGGGGAGTGGGGAGTGGGTGGGTGAGTGGGTGGGTGAGTGGGGAGTGGGTGGGTGAGTGGGGAGTGGGTGGATGAGTGGGGAGTGGGTGGATGAGTGGGGGGGGGGTGAGTGGGGAGTGGGTGGGTGAGTGGGGGGTGGGTGAGTGGGGAGTGGGTGGATGAGTGGGGGGTGGATGAGTGGGGAGCGGGTGGGTGGAGTGGGGAGTGGGTGGGTGGAGTGGGGAGTGGGTGGGTGGAGTGGGGAGTGGGTGGATGAGTGGGGAGTGGGTGGATGAGTGGGGGCGGTGGGTGGATGAGTGAGGAGTGGGTGGAGTGGGGGGGGGTGGGTGGGTGGAGTGGGGAGTGGGTGGATGAGTGGGGAGTGGGTGGGTGAGTGGGGAGTGGGTGGGTGGAGTGGGGAGTGGGTGGGTGGATGAGTGGGGAGTGGGTGGGTGGATGAGTGGGGAGTGGGTGGGTGAGTGGGGAGTGGGTGGATGAGTGGGGAGTGGGTGGAGTGGGGGGGTGGGTGGATGAGTGGGGAGTGGGTGGATGAGTGAGGAGTGGGTGGATGAATGGGGAGTGAGTGGGTGGAGTGGGGAGTGGGTGGGTGAGTGGGTGGATGAGTGGGGGGTGGGTGAGTGGGGAGTGGGTGGGTGAGTGGGGAGTGGGTGGGTGAGTGGGTGGATGAGTGGGGAGTGGGTGGGTGAGTGGGTGGGTGAGTGGGGAGTGGGTGGGTGAGTGGGGAGTGGGTGGATGAGTGGGGAGTGGGTGGGTGGATCAGTGGGGGGTGGGTGAGTGGGGAGTGGGTGGGTGAGTGGGGGGTGGGTGGGTGAGTGGGTGGATGAGTGAGTGGATGAGTGGGGGGTGGGTGAGTGGGGAGTGGGTGGGTGAGTGGGGGGTGGGTGGGTGAGTGGGGAGTGGGTGGGTGAGTGGGGAGTGGGTGGGTGAGTGGGGAGTGGGTGGGTGAGTGGGGAGTGGGTGGATGAGTGGGGAGTGGGTGGATGAGTGGGGAGTGGGTGGGTGGGTGAGTGGGGAGTGGGTGGGTGAGTGGGGAGTGGGTGGGTGAGTGGGGAGTGGGTGGATGAGTGGGGAGTGAGTGGGGAGTGGGTGGATGAGTGGGTAGTGAGTGGGGAGTGGGTGGATGAGTGGGGAGTGGGTGGATGAGTGGGGAGTGGGTGGGTGAGTGGGGAGTGGGTGGATGAGTGGGGAGTGGGTGGGTGAGTGGGGAGTGGGTGGGTGAGTGGGGAGTGGGTGGGTGAGTGGGGAGTGGGTGGGTGAGTGGGGAGTGGGTGGGTGAGTGGGGAGTGGGTGGGTGAGTGGGGAGTGGGTGGATGAGTGGGGAGTGGGTGAGTGGGGAGTGGGTGGGTGGGTGAGTGGGGAGTGGGTGGGTGAGTGGGTGGGTGAGTGGGGAGTGGGTGGGTGAGTGGGTGGATGAGTGGGGAGTGAGTGGGGAGTGGGTGGATGAGTGGGTAGTGAGTGGGGAGTGGGTGGATGAGTGGGGAGTGGGTGGATGAGTGGGGAGTGGGTGGGTGAGTGGGGAGTGGGTGGGTGAGTGGGGAGTGGGTGGGTGAGTGGGGAGTGGGTGGGTGAGTGGGGAGTGGGTGGATGAGTGGGGAGTGAGTGGGGAGTGGGTGGATGAGTGGGGAGTGGGTGGATGAGTGGGGAGTGGGTGGATGAGTAGGGAGTGGGTGGATGAGTGGGGAGTGGGTGGGTGAGTGGGGAGTGGGTGGATGAGTGGGGAGTGGGTGGATGAGTGGGGAGTGGGTGGGTGAGTGGGGAGTGGGTGGATGAGTGGGGAGTGGGTGGGTGGAGTGGGGAGTGGGTGGGTGAGTGGGTGGATGAGTGGGTGGGTGAGTGGGTGGGTGAGTGGGTGGATGAGTGGGGAGTGAGTGGGGAGTGGGTGGATGAGTGGGTAGTGAGTGGGGAGTGGGTGGATGAGTGGGGAGTGGGTGGGTGAGTGGGGAGTGGGTGGGTGAGTGGGGAGTGGGTGGGTGAGTGGGGAGTGGGTGGGTGAGTGGGGAGTGGGTGGGTGAGTGGGGAGTGGGTGGATGAGTGGGGAGTGAGTGGGGAGTGGGTGGATGAGTGGGGAGTGGGTGGATGAGTGGGGAGTGGGTGGATGAGTGGGGAGTGGGTGGATGAGTAGGGAGTGGGTGGATGAGTGGGGAGTGGGTGGGTGAGTGGGGAGTGGGTGGATGAGTGGGGAGTGGGTGGATGAGTGGGGAGTGGGTGGGTGAGTGGGGAGTGGGTGGATGAGTGGGGAGTGGGTGGATGAGTGGGGAGTGGGTGGGTGGAGTGGGGAGTGGGTGGGTGAGCGGGTGAGCGAGCGAGCGACTGAGCGAGCGAGTGAGCGAGTGAATGTGTATTGAGGGTAAGTGTGGGCGAGTGTGTAACAATTCCATTAACCCGTGAACCTTATTCTAAGCCTAACCATAACCTCACCATACTCTTGGGTAAAGTCGCGTCGGCAGAAAAAACTAACAGTTCGCGACGTTTCGATCGCAACGCCAAGCAAATCGTCATCACGCGGGACAAATCGTAGCAAGTAAACACTGCTGAAGTAGGGGTCTGTGGTTTGTCCCACCTGATGACGATTGCTTTGTTAGTTTTCTACCCGCGTGATGACTTCACCGAGAGAACCAAACAGGATGGATTCCTGCAGTCACGAGAGCTTCAAATCAAGACGCAACCTCGCCCTAACACTAACCCCTACCCTGACTAAACACTAATCCTAACCTCACACTAACACTAACCTAGCTTAATCCCTACCCTGACTAAACACTAACCCTAACCTCACCCTAACACTACCCTAGCTCAACCCCTACCCTGACTAAACACTAACCCCAACCTCACCCTAAAACTAACCTAGCTTAACCCCTACCCTAACTAAACACCAACCCCAACCTCACCCTAACACTAACCTAGCTTAACCCCTACCCTAACTAAACACTAACCCCAACCTCACCCTAACACTAACCTAGCTTAACCCCTACCCTGACTAAACACTAACCCTAACACTAACCTAGCTTAACCCCTACCCTGACTAAACACTAACCCCAACCTCACCCTAACACTACCCTAGCTTAACCCCTACCCTGACTAAACACTAACCCTAACCTCACCCTAACACTATCCTAGCTTAACCCCTACCCTGACTAAACACTAACCCTAACCTCACCCTAACACTAACCTAGCTTAACCCCTACCCTGACTAAACACTAACCCCAACCTCACCCTAACACTAACTTAGCTTAACCCCTACCCTAACTAAACACTAACCCTAACCTCACCCTAACACTAACCTAGCTTAACCCCTACCCTGACTAAACACTAACCCCAACCTCACCCTAACACTACCCTAGCTTAAACCCTACCCTGACTAAACACCAACCCTAACCTCACCCTAACACTAACCTAGCTTAACCCCTACCCTGACTAAACACTAACCCCAACCTCACCCTAACACTACCCTAGCTTAACCCCTACCCTGACTAAACACTAACCCTAACCTCACCCTAACACTAACTTAGCTTAACCCCTACCCTGACTAAACACTAACCCCAACCTCACCCTAACACTAACCTAGCTTAACCCCTACCCTGACTAAACACTAACCCTAACCTCACCCTAACACTACCCTAGCTTAACCCCTACCCTGACTAAACACTAACCCCAACCTCACCCTAACACTACCCTAGCCTCACCCCTACCCTGACTAAACACTAACCCCAACCTCACCCTAACACTAACCTAGCTTAACCCCTACCCTGACTAAACACTAACCCTAACCTCACCCTAACACTAACCTAGCTTAACCCCTACCCTAACTAAACACTAACCGCAACCTCACCCTAACACTAACCTAGCTTAACCCCTACCCTGACTAAACACTAACCCCAACCTCACCCTAACACTACCCTAGCCTCACCCCTACCCTGACTAAACACTAACCCCAACCTCACCCTAACACTACCCTAGCTTAACCCCTACCCTGACTAAACACTAACCCTAACCTCACCCTAACACTACCCTAGCCTCACCCCTACCCTGACTAAACACTAACCCTAACCTCACCCTAACACTACCCTAGCTTAACCCCTACCCTGACTAAACACTAACCCTAACCTCACCCTAACACTACCCTAGCCTCACCCCTACCCTGACTAAACACTAACCCTAACCTCACCCTAACACTACCCTAGCTTAACCCCTACCCTGACTAAACACTAACCCTAACCTCACCCTAACACTAACCTAGCTTAACCCCTACCCTGACTAAACACTAACCCCACTCTAACCCTAACACTAACCTAGCTTAACCCCTACCCTGACTAAACACTAACCCCAACCTCACCCTAACACTAACCTAGCTTAACCCCTACCCTGACTAAACACTAACCCCACTCTAACCCTAACACTAACCTAGCTTAACCCCTACCCTGACTAAACACTAACCCCTACCCTGACTAAACACTAACCCCAACCTCACCCTATCACTAACCCTAGCTTAACCCCTACCCTGACTAAACACTAACCCCAACCTCACCCTAACACTACCCTAGCTTAACCCCTACCCTGACTAAACACTAACCCCAACCTCACCCTAACACTAACCTAGCCTCACCCCTACCCTGACTAAACACTAACCCCTACCCTGACTAAACACTAACCCCACTCTAACCCTAACACTAACCTAGCTTAACCCCTACCCTGACTAAACACTAACCGCACTCTAACCCTAACCCCACTCTAACTCTAACCCCACGCTCACCCCACGCTCACCCTTCTCTCCGCGCCCCCCTTCCCACCCCCCTCTCCAGGAGTGGAGCCTTCCGACTCTCGTTACACCAATTCTCCCAGTGGTGAAGAGCGTGGCAGGGGAGCCACGGCATGGAGAGCCGGGGGAGAGTTGGGTCACCAGGAGGCAGAGTTGGGTCACCGGGGGTCAGAGTTGAGTCATCAGGAGACAGAGTTGGGTCACCAGAGGACAGAGTTGAGTCACCAGGGGACAGAGTTGAGTCACCAGGAGGCAGAGTTGGGTCACCGGGGGGTAGAGTTGGGTCACCAGGAGGCAGAGTTGAGTCACCAGGGGACAGAGTTGAGTCACCAGGGGGTAGAGTTGGGTCACCAGGAGGCAGAGTTGGGTCACCGGGGGACAGAGTTGGGTCACCGGGGGGTAGAGTTGGGTCACCGGGGGACAGAGTTGGGTCACCAGGGGACAGAGTTGAGTCACCAGGAGGCAGAGTTGAGTCACCAGGAGGTAGAGTTGGGTCACCAGGGGGTAGAGTTGGGTCACCGGGGGACAGAGTTGGGTCACCAGGGGACAGAGTTGAGTCACCAGAGGGTAGAGTTGGGTCACCAGGGGGTAGAGTTGGGTCACCGGGGGACAGAGTTGGGTCACCAGGGGACAGAGTTGGGTCACCAGAGGGCAGAGTTGAGTCACCAGGGGACAGAGTTGGGTCACCGGGGGACAGAGTTGGGTCACCAGGGGGTAGAGTTGAGTCACCAGAGGGCAGAGTTGAGTCACCAGGGGGTAGAGTTGGGTCACCAGGGGACAGAGTTGGGTCACCAGGGGACAGAGTTGAGTCACCGGGGGACAGAGTTGGGTCACCAGAGGGCAGAGTTGGGTCACCAGAGGGCAGAGTTGAGTCACCAGGGGACAGAGTTGGGTCACCGGGGGACAGAGTTGGGTCACCAGGGGGTAGAGTTGAGTCACCAGAGGGCAGAGTTGAGTCACCAGGGGGTAGAGTTGGGTCACCAGGGGACAGAGTTGGGTCACCAGGGGGTAGAGTTGGGTCATCAGGGGACAGAGTTGAGTCACCAGGGGACAGAGTTGAGTCACCGGGGGACAGAGTTGGGTCACCAGGGGGTAGAGTTGGGTCACCGGGGGACAGAGTTGGGTCACCAGAAAGTAGAACCCGGAACGGGGGATGATGTCATCGTCGTTGTTGTTGAAGAGTCTCACGCGGGAGAGTCTCACGCGGGAGAGTCTCACACGGGAGAGCTTCACACGGGAGAGTCTCACGCGGGAGAGTCTCACACGGGAGAGCTTCACACGGGAGAGTCTCACACGGGAGAGTCTCACGCGGGAGACGCTCACACGGGAGAGCTTCACGCTGGAGAGTCTCACACGGGAGAGTCTCACGCGGGAGAGTCTCACACGGGAGAGTCTCACACGGGAAAGTCTCACGCGGGAGAGTCTCACGCGGGAGAGTCTCACGAGGGAGAGTCTCACGCGGGAGAGTCTCACGCGGGAGAGTCTCACACGGGAGAGGCTCACACGGGAGAGCCTCACACGGGAGAGTCTCACACGGGAGAGTCTCACACGGGAGAGTCTCACACGGGAGAGTCTCACACGGGAGAGTCTCACGAGGGAGAGTCTCACGCGGGAGAGTCTCACACGGGAGAGTCTCACACGGGAGAGACTCACACGGGAGAGCTTCACGAGGGAGAGCTTCACGAGGGAGAGTCTCACACGGGAGAGTCTCACGCGGGAGAGACTCACACGGGAGAGACTCACGAGGGAGAGATTCACACGGGAGAGACTCACACGGGAGAGTCTCACACGGGAGAGTCTCACACGGGAGAGTCTCACACGGGAGAGTCTCACGAGGGAGAGTCTCACGCGGGAGAGACTCACGAGGGAGAGCTTCACACGGGAGAGCCTCACACGGGAGAGTCTCACACGGGAGAGTCTCACACGGGAGAGTCTCACACGGGAGAGTCTCACGAGGGAGAGTCTCACGCGGGAGAGTCTCACACGGGAGAGTCTCACACGGGAGAGCTTCACGTAGGAGAGACTCACACGGGAGAGTCTCACACGGGAGAGTCTCACACGGGAGAGTCTCACGAGGGAGAGTCTCACACGGGAGAGTCTCACACGGGAGAGTCTCACACGGGAGAGGCTCAGACGGGAGAGTCTCACACGGGAGAGTCTCACACGGGAGAGTCTCACGCGGGAGAGTCTCACACGGGAGAGTCTCACGCGGGAGAGAAACCCGGTTCCGGCTCCAGCTCGGGCTCCGTTCCCAGACCCGGCTCTGGATTCGCTCCGGGATCCGTCTCCGGATTCGCTCCGGGATCCGGCTCCGGCTTCTCCGGATCCGGCTCCGGCTCCGGTCCCTCGGGGCTCTCCCCGAAGCGTCCGTACGGCGAGATCTCGGAGTCCCCGGAGCAGGAGCGCTCCGGCTGCCGCTTTTGCTGCCGCCGCCGTTCCGGTAGTGGGGAAGAGGAAGCGGAGGAGGAGGAAGCTTCCGGTGATGGCACCGGCGCCGGCCACCGAGAGACGGACGCCACCACCACAACCACCGCCGCAACCACCGCCACCGCGGCGGCGGCGGCGGCGGCGACGACGACGAGGAGGATGGGGAGGAGGAGGAGGAGGAGGAAGGGGGGGAGGAGCGGGGGGAGGGGCACCACGACGACCTCGACGACGTTGGCCCCTGGCCCGGAAGGACGGAGGGGGGCGGCGGCGGTGGAGGCGGTGGAGGCGGTGGTAGAGGCGGCGGTAGAGGCGGTAGAGGCGGCGGTGGAGCCGCGACGGAATTTGACGGCCGGCGGAAACGGAAGCTCCGGTGCGGGCGACGTTGCCACGGAACGACGGGAGGTGGGACAGGCGGCGGTAGGACAGGCGGTGGTAGGACAGGCGGCGGAAGGACAGGCGGCGGTAGGACAGGCGGCGGAAGGACAGGCGGCGGTAGGACAGGCGGCGGAAGGACAGGCGGAAGGACAGGCGGCGGTAGGACAGGCGGCGGTAGGACAGGCGGAAGGACAGGCGGTGGTAGGACAGGCGGTGGTAGGACAGGCGGCGATAGGACAGGCGGCGATAGGACAGGCGGTGGTAGGACAGGCAGTGGTAGGACAGGCGGCGATAGGACAGGCGGCGGTGGGACAGGCGGCGGTAGGACAGGCGGAACAGCAACTCGTGGAGGCGGAGGAGGAGGAGGCGGAGGAGGAGGAGGCCCTGGTGAGGTTCCTCGTGTTGCTGGCTGGCAGTGTCCGTGTGCCTGGCTCCACCCCACCACGCCACCCACCCCATTGACCTCTCCGTGACCTTTCGCTCCGTGACCTCTCCCCTCTGTGACTTCTCCCCTCCCCCCCCCCCCCCCCCGTGACCTCCCCTCCGTGGAAGTTTCTCCAGTCGCTCGGGGAAGTTTCTGCGTTGGCCTTGGGGAAGTTTCTCCGTTGACCCGGGGAAGTTTCTCCGTTGACCCGGGGAAGTTTTTGCGTTGACCCGGGGAAGTTTCTCCGTTGGCCCGGGGAAGTTTCTCCGTTGGCCCGGGGAAGTTTCCCCAGTCGCTCGGGGAAGTTTCTCCGTTGACCCGGGGAAGTTTTTGCGTTGACTCGGGGAAGTTTCTGCGTTGGCCCGGGGAAGTTTCTGCGTTGGCCCGGGGAAGTTTCTCCGTTGGCCCGGGGAAGTTTCTCCGTTGTCCCGGGGAAGTTTCTCCAGTCGCTCGGGGAAGTTTCTCCGTTGACCCGGGGAAGTTTTTGCGTTGACTCGGGGAAGTTTCTGCGTTGGCCCGGGGAAGTTTCTGCGTTGGCCCGGGGAAGTTTCTCCGTTGGCTTTGGCAAAGTTTCTGCGTTGACCTTTTCTGCGTTGACCCGGGGAAGTTTCTGCGTTGGCCTTGGCGAAGTTTCTCCGTTGGGCCGGGGAAAGTTTCTGCGTTGACCCGGGGAAGTTTCTCCGTTGGTTTGGGCACGTTCCTCCTGCAGCCGATGGATTTTTTTTGCCTGCCATGAATTTTGCTTTTGATGGGCGGCGGGGGGGGGGGGCGGGCGGGGGGGGGGGTTCGCGGTTGTTTTTGGAGCCGGTGGGGAATCCACAATCTGCGGCGCTTTCGCTAAAGTCACGTGGGTGGAAATGAATCCGCGATAAACCGCCACGTTTCGAACTCAACCCGCGCGCGCCCTCCGTCTGCAGGTGAAACCCCGCGGGCGGCTGCGGCTGCAACCCTTCATGCCTTCCGTTTTGCTTCACTTCTACCCACGTGACCTTACCGAAAGAACGACGCGGAGTGTGGGATTCCTGCAGCCGGGGAAAGCTTCGAGTACGAGGTGGATGGTGAATCTGGCCGCGAAGTCCGACTGACCCCCCTCCCTCCCCTCCCCTCCCCCCGTGGTGTTTTGATTTCGTTTGCTCTGGCCGGGGGTGGGGGGTGGGGGTTTTGTTGTTGTTGTTGTCTGTTGCCACTGAGCCTGGGGGCCTGGTTCACTTCTCGTCCGAAGCCTTCTCGGTCGAGAGGTCCCCCGTCGATTCGGGGAGTGCGTGGAATCAATAAAAGCAAGGGGAGTGTGTTGATCGATTGGAGAATCTGAGATCCGGTTACTGGCCCCGAGTGAGTGTGTTCAAAACCCATACAACCCCATTATCCCATACAGAACCCCAGTATCATCCCATACAGAACCACCGTCTCATCCCATACAGAACCCTCATCCCATACAGAACCCCAGTATCATCCCATACAGAACCCTCATCCCATACAGAACCCCAGTATCATCCCATACAGAACCCCAGTATCATCCCATACAGAACCCTCATCCCATACAGAACCCTCGACTCATCCCATACAGAACCCCAGTATCATCCCATACAGAACCACCGTCTCATCCCATGCAGAACCCTCATCCTATACAGAACCCTCATCCCATACAGAACCCTCATCCCATACAGAACCTCAGTATCATCCCATACAGAACCCTCATCCCATACAAAACCACCGTCTCATCCTATACAAAACCACCATCTCATCCTATACAGAACCCCAGTATCATCCCAGACAGAACCCTCATCCCATACAAAACCCCAGTATCATCCCATACAGAACCCTCATCCTATACAAAACCACCGTCTCATCCTATACAAAACCACCGTCTCATCCCATACAGAACCCCAGTATCATCGCAGACAGAACCCTCATCCCATACAGAACCCCAGTATCATCCCATACAGAACCCTC